TGTCTGAAAAAAAATGAAAAAAAATCAATCAATTAAAAATTCTGTTCATAATCCTTATCCTAATTATCAGTTAGTAATTCATGGTTTTGTTGTTAATATAATGAAAGCAATTAAGATATTGGTTTGTGTTCTATAATTGCTATCTGGTACATTGTGTTTATGACACTACTGAGCATTAAAGTTTGAGTTTTTTTTTTTATCTACATGCAGTATATGGGCTTTAAAATAACTGCTGCTTTAATAAGGAATCTAGATTTGACAAAATACCATCAAACACCAACTCTAACTGCACATGACAAGCCAACCATTTTCCTAAGACTGCCATAAATTCTTAATTCAAATACAATGTAAAAAAAGGTTTTAAAAAATTCTCAGTAGTTAATGGACTCAAACAAGCTAAACTACCAGTATGGTCACATAAAACTGGTGGTCTTATTTTCACATAACAGACTATTTTTATGTAAATTTCATGACCCCTGTTTCAATTTAACCTTTAAGATATACTACAGTACATGTGAGAGAATATCTGTGAGAGTGTGAGAAAGAAAGATAAACTGGAAATTTATTAGATCCTGTGTTAATCTCAGAAAAGAATGTCCATACAAGCAACTGGTGGAGAGAGAAGGTCATACACTGTATCTGTGTTCCACACACATACTTACATGTGCACATGCAAATATGTACTGCACATAAAATAAATAAAAATAAATTTGCAACACCTGCCTGATCGTCTGTTTGTAGTGGCCTTCCCATCTCCCAACACACTTCTTTATTTATCAGCAGAAGCCAAAGTGATAAGCCCACAGCTGTTGTCTTACTGTGCATGTGTGCATGTGCACACACACATAAACATACTTGCAGTTGTCACATACAGGGTACATAGACTTATATTAATTTCCAGGAGACTTACCCTAACCTTATCCGGAACTGTTATTTTCTAATCTTAACCCTCCCCATAACCTTAACCAAATCTGACCCTTGCACAAAACTCACACCCCATCATTTTTGTAAAATCTGACAAATTAGTCATGGGGCCCAGCCTTCGGTCCCCACACAGTGGTGAGCTTCCAGTTTTCCATCCCCACAAGTATATATAAACAAGGCCACACATGCTGTGTTTCCATAACTTCAGGGGACATTACATTGAAATGCATTAATTTCCTGGAGACTTGCACTAAGCTTCAGCCAACTCTAATGTCACCCTAACCTTGAACCCAGTCATCACTCTAAAATGTAATGATTTACATTTGGGAGTTTGTCTTTTTTTTTGTTTGTTTTGCCCCCATGAGGACATTGAATCCCCACAATGTGACAGGGTAAACAGATTTTTCTCCACAACGTGACTAAAATCAGACCACACACACACTATAAAACATTTCAAGCTGGTTAAGCTTAGAAAAGTTCACCTGCTGCCTTGAAACATGATTAAAACCAGTTTAGACTGAACAGTTAGCTCAATTTTCTTTTGTGAGTTTTGCCTGATTTTTAAATTAACTCAGCTAAGTTAACTAACCTTGAGAAAACAAGTTGAATAAACTAAAGATGGATTATTGGATTATTGGATTGAATAAAATGAAAATGCTATGTTGACACAACTTCTAGATCCATGGAAACTCATTAAAGCCAGATTTACATTGCTTTTAAATTTCTCACTTGAAAGTGTCAATTCTTCTATGTGAAGAACTTCACAGCTGTAGCTGTTAAAAGCTGTTTGTACCAAAGCAAATATAACATATTAGACTACTCCCAGTGACTTTGTAAGAGTCTCAGTGTGTCAGGATAGTGACTGATTTTAGTGGTAACCTTTATCAAGACTTGTATCATCCTCTGTTTCTTTTTATAAAACAACCATGATTGAATTTAATATGTATTACAAACATAAATAAAGTTTTCACCATGAATGGGCTCTTCAAAATATAAAAAAGAAGAATTTCTGAAGAACTTTAACTCTCCAGCACGGCATGCTGGGAGGTCTGTTAGTTTTGTTTCTTTAAAACTTAATCTAATGACTTGGATGAGCTGTTCATTCATTCAACTCATCATTTCAAGTTGAAATACCTCAAGTCAGAGCAATTCATGTTTATAAGTACTAAAGTGGTCTGAAATTTTAAAACTAGACTTCCTAAGTCTGTGTTTTCATTTCTTGTGGGGACTTTACATTGAGCTTAATTATAACCACTACTTGCCTAACATTAACCGTGACCCTAACCTCACCCTAACATTAAACCATGTTGCCACCCTAAAATTCGATGATGTCCAACCTCTGGTCCTCACAAAGATGGCCGAGTCCCCAAAATGTGAGTGTGTTAATAGGTTTTGGTCACACACACACGCACACCCACACTTACAGGCCAGCCATGTGTTCTGGCCAAAAGGTGTCAGATACCAGTGGAGTCTTAGAAAGTCATAGGGACAGTGAAGTCACTTTTTCTCACTTTAAGGGATAAAGTCCTTAGATATGGTTGTTGAAACAATGAGTGCTGGTACAACAAATGAGTACTGAAGCATAAAAAGTCACTCTCAGTGTGAGTGTGTGTTTTTGTGTGAATCTCAAACTAAAGCCCTCTGTGCTGTGCAGACAGATTCCCAGCCCACCGTGGACACATTAATCACAGGTTATAATTAAATGTCTCCATCTTCTCACCCAGAAACAGGATGGGAACTGAAAGAGGCCACAGCTGTTGTCCACTTGCCCTGCCACCCAGAGTTCAACCTGCCCAGAACCTGATCCTCGATCAGCTCACCTCTCAGTCACTGTGACCTGTGCATCACACAGATAGGAAATATATAAAAAGTATCTTGCCTTTTTCACAGGTTTGAGCTCTGTTGGCTTTGAGTATATCACATTTGATAAAAGGCTATTGTTACTGTTAGTGTTAGCACATCTTAATGCTTTCTGGTGTTACTGTGGTATAATATTCCTGAACAAAGTTATGTTATATCTTTGGGGCTTGATTGCAGTGATTAAGATTTCAGTATGCTTCAAACAAACATGTTGTTTGATTACATTTAAAGGCCAAAGTATTTGTACATTAACGTATTTATACTAGTATAATGGACACATTCAAAGTAGAAAAGCCTGCTGTAATGACCACCTACTGGCTGCATCACACTACCTCCCCAGTCTCTCCCCAGTAACTCTTTCACTGTAACACTGTTACAGTGTTACATAAGCAAAAGATGAAAAAACAGGAGAACTTGATTGGATTTCAAACGCTGTCTTAGCAGGAGCACCTCGGCTGAGTTATGTGCATGCCATGTACAGTAATTGCAATGTTCACAGTTCAGTCCCCCAGCTGGGGACATTCATTGCATGCCATGCCCTATTTCATTCCTTAAATTTCTTGTCTGTATTTTGCAGTTCACTGTTAAATAAAGGCAACAATTGAAAAATGAAATGCACAAGTGGGCATACAGGGATATAATCTAGAATCTAGTGTGTTTGTGATTTTCATTGCACTGCATTGTAATACATTTCTTTGTACAAAGCATTGTTTGTGAAACTGTTCTCTATGAAATCATAAATAAGTGTGATGATGCAGACCATTTTTACTGGGATGAGGTTTAACATTCTGATGAATGTTCCACAGGAAAATGAAGGGAAATGATGATGTCCTGTTTAGAGATGAAAGAACTCACATCCAAGCTAAAGTTGCCTCATAATAAGAAAGTGAAGTCTAAAGCCTTGTTTTTCAGGGAAAAACAGAACTGCACAAGTACAGAAATATAAAGAATGTCAGATTAGGATGACAAAAAAGAAAACACACACACACACAAATTAGACTGCATTGCCATAACTGTCATGTATTAAATTTAGGGAAGTGTGAACAAGGGCAAACTCACAACAGGAAATGCCAAAATCGGTGTTTTGAATCACTTTTGAAGAAGGGAACCAGATTTTCTTCTTCACCAGCAGCAGTGTGAACGAGGACTACAGTCATATATTGTCAGGACAGATAATCTGGAATAAAAATGAAATATTTAGTAATATTATACTTTATTGCTTATTATTTACAGTTTGTATTTTGCTTTGAATACCTCCTTAACTGTGATTTAACACAAAAATTCTATCTATCTATCATCCATCCATCTATCTATCTATCTTACTAAACTGAGTTCAAGCTACTAGTCTCTCATACCTTCATACTAACATACTTTAGGGACTTATGGTGTAGCCTACTGTAATCTCTTATTTCTTATTCTTCGTGGGATTAAAGCATATTACTGTTATGCTGGTGATGTGTTTTTACATGCAATCTTTAATAATAAAGAGTTTATAGTTACTTTATAATGCTCCAGTGGGAACTTGTAGTGAGTCTTAGTCTTAATTGTTTTCCTTACGTCTAATGAAACCACTATTCCTACAGGATTTTGCCCTATATTAATTATTTTAATCTGATACTCCTACAGTAACGTTCTGTAAATTTGGGCTAATGACTGTAATAACCTCAGTGTCAGACTGTAATAACCAGACTGTCACTCATTTGCCTCCACTGACTTAAGTGAAAACAGTAAAGCTTTTCCCCTCCTCCTTTTCTTCTGTTTCTCTTCTTTAACCTACACTCTGTGAGGAAAACGGCAGAATGAGAAGGGGGCAGAATGAAGGTGGTGGTGGTGATGGGGGGTATTTTCCGTACTGTGAAGAGTCACAAAAAGGCCCCATGAGTTTATAATTTGAAAAGCTGACCATCTTAAGATGTTAAGAAACGAGACAACGAGAGCGAAGATTTTGGACGAGCCAATCTCTTGAAGGATAGGGAAACATGGAGATATGAGGAAAGGTAAAATGTAGAAAAACGACAAATCTCAAAGGAGGATGTTTGTGTTGTATATTACAGAACTTAACACGGTAGGGATTTGTTAATGTTGCTTATTTACGGAAAAGTTATTTTAAAGATATCGCTGTAGGCACAGCTAGCTCTCCCCTAGCTTTTTGTTTTGGTACAGTCCACAGCTCCTTGTGGAGGCTACCGTCGGGAACTGGAGCACAACATGTTGGAGTCTGTAGCGGAGCTGCTCCTCTCTGAGTTAACTTTTTCATCCCGGTTCTGTCGCGGCGTCCATGAGTAGGTGGGAGAGGAGGTCGGGGAGAGCAAAGGGGCTAAAAAGGCAGTCATGGTATGAGGTTAGTGTGAAAGCCGGAGCATCTTCTTGCAGCAGAAGCCCGTTGATATTTAACCGTGCGGAGAAGAACAGGGAAAAGGTACAGAGAAGCCCGGAGAAGCGAGAGAAAAGCGGTGTACAAGATGCATCTGGCCGCGGTGCTGTGGGGCGCCCTGATAACTTTGCTGCTCAACCAGTTTCAAGGTAAGACGGTGTTTGTTTACAAACATTGCAAAGTCGACTTGCAGCAGTATCTGAGCGTGTTTTGGAAGAGGTGAACCGAGGAGCCTTTGCACGGCCGGTGTTTGGTAGTATTTTGGTTTTTAAATTCCCTCCCCGCAGTTCTGTGAAATGGTTTGCCTGGCATTCAGACATCTAACTCAGCAGCAGCCAAGTTCCCCCTTATTAGAGAGCTCAATTTAGGTGGCTAAAATAGAAACTGTAGTAGAAAATGAGTGTGTGTGTTGATTCTTTTCTGGAATTCTTGTTTAACAACATACGCAAGTGTTGAAGCCAGTGGAGTTCTCAGATTTGCAGCAGTTCATTGTAGTTTACAGGTTTAACTTGTGAAAATATGGCAAATAAACATTTTAACTTTTTTCACGTATGTTTTGTAGTGTTGAACCTGTATTTGTACTAATCCTCCAATCCATACTGTTTGAAGTGAATGTGTTTTGAATGCTGTACTGATTTGAATTGTAATTGCATGGGTTCATGCAGGATTGTGATAATGGTTTAGCATTTACATGCAGGTTTGGTGGTTGTATGCATATTCGTGATATCCTGTCAGATCTCCACCTTTGACGTAGATTGCCATCAATCCTGGGAATAAAACCCTGAATGTTAAATCACTTAGAAGACTGTGGCTTGTCTCAGATGCCTAGAGGCTGAAACATAAGAAAGAGAATACGTGATGGATTTTGTGCTCTTCTGCGCTGGTAGAAAGTTCTGTAGCTCCAGTTACTTAAAAATTCACTTTTCATGTTGTTATGCAAATGATCCTCAGAACTGAAACAAAAGTGATTCCTTGGGATATGACAGCAGTATTTGTTGAAGCAGCCTGTTCAGTTAAAAAAAGAGAAAACCAAGCGCACTGCTCTGTGCTATGGTTGTAGGTGAACTGCTGTTTATCTGTGATAACCTACGTGCTGTGTCACCTTCCAGCAGCAGTTGTATTAGATCAGAATAATTTCCACCTCCCCCTTCTTATGTTTTCTTTAACACCTTGTATTTACAGCATGTTAGAACAGCCGCTGGAATGCAGCGACCTTACTGAAGTGCTTTCTGCACACACACACACACACACACACACACACACACACACACACACACACACATACATAGGTGTTGTACCCTATGACATGACAAGAAAAAAATGTACCTGATAGAAAAGCAAAAATGACTCCTTTTAATTGGCTGGTTGGACCTCCAAAGGAGGCTGCTGTAATTGTGATGTCTTCTAAATGTCACCAGGAGACATCTCTAAAATGTCAGCCAGATAAGTTTCAATATCTAATTGAAAACAAACGCCCCCCCGATGATCCACATCCTATTTATAGTTGGGTCTTTCATCCTTTCAGATGTAGTTATCAGCCCCCACTTGCTCGCCTCCCCTCTTTATCTATGCAGGGGGGCTACGCTTGTTTGATTATGGACTCTTTCTGTCACAAAGCACTTAACTCTGCTGGGCCTGTATCATGTCTTAAACACGTCTTTATCTGTTGTGCATGAGTGTGAGCTGCTGCTGTTGTTGCCATTCCAATTTTTAATTCAAGATCTTTAAACTTGATCATTTTCAATCCTGGAATTTCAAATACAGCATTTTTCCCTCCTCTGAAGTTTATTTTTGTCAGGATTAGAAAAACCTCTGAAATAACATTTCAACCCATGTATGACACTGACACTAATGAGATTATTTTAGGGCTAGTGGGTCTCAAAGACAGGATCTCATACCACACAGCTATTCAGTGGTTAGGGAACTTCCAGGATACATATGAAAAACTAACATAGATAAATATATCTTTGAGCAATTAATTGGCTAAAACTGTTCAAAGCAAAATTCCGGTGGGTAAAAGACTTGAAACGTTCATCATATTGGCCTAATCCTGACATATCAGGCTCTTGTATTAGGTATATAATAGGTTTATGGAAAGATGAGCTTAGTATTAAAGGATAAGGCCAGTCATTTCCTATATTAATAGTATTTCCAACATGCCCCATACAGAGAGTAAAAGCAGCAGTGATTTGCCTCTAATCATAATTAATGTCTGTCCGACCTGGATTGGCTTATTTGTTTGCGCATGTGCATTGACTCTTGTTTACTTCAGATGCTTTAAAAATGTCGTCTGAAGCTTTTGGAGCAGCGTTTTTAATAAATATGTAGGTCTTGTGTTTCGTAATGAAGAAACACATCACCCGGTGCAGTGGCGTTTTTAACTGTTATTGAGCATCAGTGGAGATCAATGGTATAAACATAAGCTAATCCAAGTTGGAGACTGACAGACATTAACCATGAGTAGAGGCAGGTCATTGTTTCTTTAGTTTCTTTCTGGGGACTGTTGAAAATACTATTAATACTGTATAGGAAATGACTTGCCTCTACAAGGTAAAAGATGTATACAATAAATCGTATTATAAAGGCCAGCTGCCAGTCCCAAATGACAGTAGATCCCAGGGCTTTGATTTTTAGTCTGACTGTGTATGGGTGTGTGTGCACGTTTGAGTCCCCACCATGTGTTAAAAGGTCAAGATGCCTTCTGAGCTAAGTCTAGTGGCCTTGCTGTAATGGGCTGAGTTGGGCTAATAGCACGTTGGAGAGTGTGTGAGACAGTTTAATGATGTGCTCTGGGACAACACCACCCCTCACCCACTCCTGCTGGACCCTCCTCATTTAAAGATCACCTGCTGATTGGACTCAGGTTTACTCAGAAACAATCAGGATGGCATGAAATTTTCAGCTTGCATAATGCAGAACTGAGCAAGACTTACCTCAGTTTAGTCCTGCAGCCCTGTATCCTGTATCAGTCCTGCATCAATCTGATGTCCAGGCAACTGCCCAAAAGATTTCCTTCCTTGATTGGGGTTGGTTGGTTATTTTTATCTACTGCAGCCAATCAAAGAAGTAGAAAAGAAAGGGAACGGGGGCAGTAAAATACAAGGAAAAAGAGGTGGGCTGCAAAATAAAAAATGTCCATTGCAGTTTCCCAGAACTCAAGGTTACATTTTCAAATTTCATATTTTGACCATCCAAAAGTCCAAACTGATGCAAATCAGAAATTGTATCCTCACATCTGAGATGCTGAAAGTGGTGAATGTGTTGCATTTTTACTTGATAAATGTCTTAAATGAAATTTGAATGACTGTTTTAGGTTGTCCTCTAGTAATAACAGTAAATTGTTTACTAATGAGACCTGTATCGCTTTAGAAAATGAATGAATCAAACAAAGGATTAGCTAGAAACAAAATATGTTTATAAAAACTAAGGTAGGGTACTGAAAAGGAAAACTTGTAGCATTGGTTTTCAGTGCTGAAACTCAGGAATCATATTGGCACTAGTATTGAAACCTTTCAAACCATACAAAGCTCTAGGATCTGTCAGATCGCCCCCTATAGCCTGTGTTCAGATTGAGTTTCAAAGGTGTGAAAAAACGCAGCCCTCTCCATTCATTTCTATGGGAGATTGCGCTCACTACAGCCTGCACCAACACTGCAGTGGGCTCCGGCAAAACAAATCAGCCTCGTGTGGCAAAACATTTGGATCTGGTACAACTTTTGCTGCACTGGACAGTGACATCATCTGGCAAAGGTGCTGCATTGACCGATCACATATGGAGGACTGTTGGAACATGACCATGACATGTTGGAACTCTTTTGTTTGCCTTATTAGCATGTGCATTCACTGTTTAATTTGGGCCACAGTTAATGCACCATAACGACATGGCATCCTTTTTTTACTGCTGGTTGTTACACAGTGTTTTCTTATATATCACTGCAGATACACTTGTGGTTGAATTGGTGCTAAGGTAGAGCAGGCTACGTTAGCAGCATAGCTAACTAAAACACAATGAAAACGGACGGACTGGAAACGTGAATGAACCCACTCACATTGTCACAATGTGGCCATATTGTACACACCTACAACCCTCCCCCCCTGCTTCCCCTCACCCCCAGACCAATGCAGCCCCTTGCATAAAAACACAGCAGTGAGTTAGTTTTGCTAGAATCAGTCTGAACTCTTTCGCTTCTGCAAAACAATTCCATGTTTATTGAAGATTTTGTTGGCAAACCACTTTTTTGATTATCTAATTCAGCCGTTGCTTATTAATTTCAGCACTAGTGGCAGCTATAGGGAGAATAAAACAAGCTAAAAGAAGAAAATCAGAGATGCCAGTAAGAGTTGAGAACGTGTGTTGAAAAGGGGAGGTGGGGAGTTTGGCCTTGTGTCTGCTCCGCTGCCCTGCTCTGTAATTCAAGTTGCCACAGGCCTCTGTGCTGCTTGTATTCCCTCGTTGGATTGATTAGACCCCTGACATTTCCCTTCTCATCCTGGACTAACACACACTCCCGGCAGTGGCGTTGTCACAGAGCCTGCAGGCATGGCTTTGCGTACCCAGCAAGCATTAGAATGTAAATTTATGACTTTGTCTTGCAAAATAGCTCCAACGCCACATTTGATTAAATGTCCTCAGAGTAATTGTATTGCTATTAATGGTGTTACAGTGTTGATATTTCCGAACAACTTTCCCCACAGACAGATTTATTGCTTGCCACGAGGTGTTTTTGGTGCAGATCCTGCTCTGCAGGCAACAACACTTTTCTTCAACAGTGAAAGGTGTTTTTTTTAAGGTTGTGGCTGTAGCTCAGGTCTGTGGCTTCTTTGTCTTTATTCCTGACAAAGTTTGATTGTTTTGGCATATATGCACTTTCACCTTCCACTCTAGTGTCTGTCTTGTCGAGGCTGTAGCTTTTCAAGGGCTCCAGGAGGTGGACAGTGTAAGTTTTATTAATGGATCTGAGACTTGAAGTGCTGTACTGAATAAGTGTGTGGGATTTTTGTGGCCTGAATGAGTGTGTGTGTGTGCGTGCCCTCCTCTGGTCTAGCTGGTTAGGCTGGTGTCGGCCAGGCTTTTGCTTTCATCGGGGGAAGGCAGAGTGGGCCACCTGATACCCCCACTGTGCTTTGTGTGTTTCTGCTGAGGGGATGG